GGGGGCCTACTGACTTTTAGAAGTGTAAAGGGGTCCTAAAATCTAGAAGTTTGAGAACCACGGCCCTAGGCTGAACTTGGACATCTTATTTTCCCAACTGGATTGGTAAGGACTTGAAGGCAAAGGTGTAACCAGCATATGAACATCTTAATTTTTTTATTCTTCTGTTCTCTCTGTGGGTTGGGTCTTTCCGATCAGACTTATTGCCCAGTATGATAATTACCCTGTCTGTGTCAGTCACCCCAGTTATAATTCCTTGAGAGGAGTTACTTTGCTGGGCTGATTTTTGTTTTTATGATCTCATCTGGTTATCTTTTGCTTAACAGGTGTCCTGCATGTGCAGAGCTCATGCATGGTGTCGTGATGGGCTCGGAATAAAAAAGCAGTAATATACCTTAACAAATCTATCAAAACTTGTATGTCCATGTTTTCTCCAAAATAGCCACAGGGTAAGGCTTTATGCTTACTCCGATTAAGGCTACCGCCTAAAATATGTCTACAGCTTGTGGATTATAATCACCTTTATTACTGGCCTTGATTGGGAAGCTATAAAAATGTATATATTCTCACTATTGATAAATTCTTTTCTTCTGAGGGTAGGTTTGACTTTTGAGACAGTTTAAAGTCATTTGAAGACAAGCTTAAAGAATAAGGGGGCTCTGGATACCTAGCTTCTTGTGTCACTTATGTGGTTCTAGTGGCAATTCCAGAATGTTAGCTAAATATGTTTTGGAATGTATTACTCCCTTGGTGATATTCTCTATGTATTTATTAAGCTCCTATTCTGTGCTGTACCATTATGTTCTCTGTTTCCCCAATGTCTTTTAAGGATGTGTCAGGGAATAAACATACAGAAACAGTGGTCTCCTCCCTTAAGGTGCCCACAGGCTGTGCTGTGGGAAACATTTTGGCTCAGGTCTGATTGAGTAATTGTTGGCCATTTGCCTGCAGAGACTGGGTTATTTGTCAGGATGGTTCGTGGGGCTGAAACAGTCAGTGAGCCTACAATCTTCTTTAGGCTGCAAATCTCCTGAAGCTCTTCCCTGTATACTTTTTCTCAGGCTGCCCTGTATCGTCAGCCTCACAATGGAGCAAACCACTAGCCCTGTACCCTCAAGCAAGGAGGCTAGTGGAGTGACTGCTGTTATTAACCTCACCAATTGGTGAGTCGGGAAGAAGCAGGTTTGAACCGCTCCCAGTGGGAACCTGTAACAAGGTTCACGAGCACCAGGTTAGCTACTTTCGGAAGCAGACAGAACCCTACTCTGGCACGGTGGAAGGCTGATGCCTACACCTGCTCCAGCAACTCCTCTCATCGTCCTTGTGTATTTCATGCTGCTCAAGGCTCTCTCCCCCACACGCTCTGTCCCGTGGCCATTACTGCCTTTTGGATGTGGCATTCGGCTCTGCACACTTAATTTTGTTCACCGGCTTTCCAGACCTGACGAACACGAAAGAAATTTAGCCAATCCATACTTTTCAGAATGTGTGTAAATACAAGGATACACAATTCATTGCATTGTGATATTTGTGTCATTGGCTTATTGTCGGCTACCTTGAGGCCACCGATTTGAGTGGGAGGACCACACCCTTGACCTGAATTCTCCCTTGGAGCTAATTTTAGTAGGCTTTCTGTTGCTCACAGGCTTGTTCAATCTTATTTCAAAGCGAGAGACTCCATGACACACCTACCAGATCTAAGGTTACTTTAAAGTCGATGGCCAAAAAGTTTTACACCTTCTGATTTTTACAATGGTTTCTAAAGATTCTGATTTGGAGCACTTAGAACAAACCGACTAACAAAGTGGCAAAGTATAATCTTTGAAAAGTTAAAAACACGTGTCTCCTGGGCACCTGGGTGGCTCAGTGGGTTAAAGCCTCTGCCTTTGGCTCAGGTCATGATCCTGGGTCCTGGGATGGAGCCCAGTGTGGGGCTCCTTGCTCGGCAGGGAGTCTCTTTCTCCCTCTCCCTGCCATTCCCCTTGTTTGTGCTCTCTCTGACAAATAAATAAATAAATAAATAAATAAATAAATAAATAAAATATTAAAAAGAAAAAAATCCCACACACAAAACCCACATGTCTCCTACAAGTACTGTTTACAGCAGGCTTGTGCATGGGGCAAATAATGATAAAAGTCATTAACAAGGAAGCAAGCAGGATGACAAAGTTAGGTCAAGGCAGGATACAGGAAAATGAAATACATATTCAGTCAGCAAAAGAAAAAAATGCAATCATTACTTTTAAGGTTATCTTTTCTACTGGAAAGAGTTCACTTACCTCTCAACTGGACAAAACCCTTACTAACGTATCAATCTTCTACAAGTGAATGCCTAATTTCACATATTCTGGACCTAATCAAAGAGTAAACATGAAGTCACTTAAGTTCTTGAATGCCGGGCTATCCAGAATGATAACTAGTAGCTACATGTGGCCACTAGTGACTGGTGGCTAGTCTGAAATGGAATGTTCTACAAATACAAAATACACTAGATTTGACAGACTTGCTATTTGATTAAAAGAAAAAGAACATAAATTATCTTATTTTTTTTAAATATCGATTACATGTTGGAATGGTCAGAGTTTGGATAGATTGCGTGAAGTAGAATACATTATTAAAATGAAATTCACTTGTTTCTTTTTACTTTTGTCAATGGGACTACCAGAAAACTTAAAATTACACATGTGACTCACATTCTGTTTTATTGTAGAGCATTGCCTTAGAGCATCAAATGACCCAGAAATGAACCCAGACAATTTTCTAATACAGCTCAGAAGGACAGAAAGAAATAGTTTTCCCTTGTTTTTAAGTTTTGGATACCTTTTCAAAACATAAGTTACAGGGATCTGGAGGCGGTTTGGTTGTTTCTCTGCCTTCTGGCCTATTCGATGCAGCCAGGAGGTTGGGAGCAAGACTGAGAGGCTGGTGTCCTAATGACTTGAGATCTGGACATCAGATTTGACTGTAGGGAGATGTGTTTTAATTGATTCAACCTGAGTGATCATATTAGAGAACTGAATCACAGTAATCAAACTGACACGTTGCTAACTTATAAACCGGGACGGGAAGTCCAGTGACCTGGCAATCAAGACTTTCCACTGCTGTTTTCCTGGTGGTTAAACGCACTTAACTGAATTTCAGATGCAGTGGGGGGCCAGGATGCGGTGGTGGTGGGGTTGGGGAGTTTGGAGGGGTCTCATTGCACAGAGAATCAGAGCAAAGTGGCATGTTCTTATTTTGTTTTGTTATTTTGTTACCAAAGTATATTAGTGTGATAAAAGTACTTTAGCTATTCAAACACTTTCAATAACTTCTTACAATTCTATACCCAGAGTCACAGTGAGGGATGGCAGGTCTAAAGTAGTTTTCTATGGCTGGTAATTCATCCATCACTAATCTTATTAAGCTGTTAATTCCCAGAGGACATGATCAGTACCAGACACAATTTCCAAATGTTGAACAAATGGTGTTCAGTAAAACCCTGGAGTTATCCTTAGTCTAAAAGATGCCTCATTTTTTATTCATCACTGAACTTAGTTTGTACTTCTTGATCACAATCTAAGGCAAACATCTTCAATACATATTTTCATTCACTGTATATTTGAATGGGAATTTCTGGTAAGTTGTAATACTTCCTTTGCCCCTAAATACAAATATATAATTCTATTAAGTACTTGAGTAGTAACTTTATTCAGCTCAAGAAAAAATTGCAACTGCTGGCGACCAAAGGCTGAAATATGAAATAACGAACCTTAAAGAAGTAAAGCAAACTTGAGACCAGAATATGTAAGACCTGCTTCAGAGGGGGAGAGAAGAGGTGTTCTTATCAACAACAAAAAATGGTGTAATAATTTATATGTTCCAGTACTTTTCCTCTGTTTCTACGTAAAATTTTGCCATCTGTTTTGCTCAACTTCAGATATATAGTTCACCTGATAAAAGTGTATCACATGAAAGTCATCCAGATCTTTGAATTCCCAGCTACAGAGTGTCCTTCTATAGCATAACATGTCTTCAGATATTGTTACTGGAAGTAACCCAGAATTTTCATGGGCTAAAATTCACCCCTTTACTGGAGCATATAAAAATAATAAATGCTGGTTTTCTTTGAAAACAGATCATCTCAATGTTTATAGCCGCCAAGTCTTTGAGGATTTTTTCTTTTTTTTGTAAGCTTAGGGGGTCTCCCTTCTTCCCTCATTATCCCTATTCTTGAGGGTCAGACCCCCTGCCTTGCACAACCCAGAGGGGAACCTGAGACCTTTTGAAAAACTGCCCAATTTCTCGCCCTTGGAGAAGTGAAGAGTGCCCCGCCCCCATCTGTGAAAAGACGGATTTGAAAAAGAATTTCAATGTCTTCAAGTCTAAGATTTAAGTCTCTAACCCTCCACGACCCAGGACAGCCCCCAAGGCTTCTGGACCCCCTTTCTTACAGCCCTAACTGCTTTGGACTGGCCCGGGAATCCTTGTCCCCGTCCACGGTTCTTGTGGGTCTGTGCGCAGAACTCACAGAGGACCTGTGTTACTTCCCCTGCGAAGAAACAGAATTATCGTGAAAACTTAGGTGGAAACCATTTCGGTTTTGTATCCCAAAGAAGGGCAGCATGTGCCCAAGCACTCCTGAGAAAAAGAACTTTCAGGGGCAAAGGAGCGAACAGGTAATTTAGAAGAAAAACAGAAAGTGGTCTCCGACCGTCCTGGACTTCCCTGGGAGTTGGGGGAGTTGGGGGCGCCTGGACGCGTTGTCTTTGGGCTTGCGGAAAAAATAAATGGAGAGCACGAAGCCTGAGGCTTCTCGGATCCTTTCCCGACCAAAGTCGGGAGATTTGGTGCGGGGTATTTTAACATTTTCCCCCTTTTGTGAAGTGGAACAAACACAACTTGGGCGCACGGCGGCGGCTCGGAGCTGCCAGCCAGGCGGGCGAGCTGAGCACCAATCAGCGCGCGCCTGCGCTCTATATATACGGCGGCCCGGCCGCGGCGCACCCACGGCGCTCTGCCACTTGTACCCAGTCCCACAGCCTCACCATGTCGGAGACCGCTCCTGCTGCTCCCGCCGCCGCCCCCCCGGTGGAGAAGACCCCGGTGAAGAAGAAAGCGGCCAAAAAGCCCGCAGGGGCGCGCCGTAAGGCGTCAGGCCCCCCGGTGTCGGAGCTGATCATCAAGGCCGTCGCCGCGTCCAAGGAGCGCAGCGGCGTGTCCCTGGCGGCGCTCAAGAAGGCGCTGGCGGCCGCCGGCTACGACGTGGAGAAGAACAACAGCCGCATCAAGCTGGGCCTCAAGAGCCTGGTGAGCAAGGGCACCCTGGTGCAGACCAAGGGCACCGGCGCCTCGGGCTCCTTCAAGCTCAACAAGAAGGCGGCCTCCGGCGAGGCCAAGCCCAAGGCCAAGAAGGCGGGCGCGGCCAAGCCCAAGAAGGCGGCCGGGGCGGCCAAGAAGCCCAAGAAGGCCGCGGGGGCCAGCGCCCCCAAGAAGAGCGCCAAGAAGACCCCCAAGAAGGCCAAGAAGCCCGCGGCGGCGGCTGTCGCCAAGAAAGTGGCCAAGAGTCCGAAGAAGGCCAAGGCCGCCAAGCCCAAGAAGGCGGCCAAGAGCACAGCCAAGGCCGTGAAGCCCAAGACTGCCAAGCCCAAGGTTGCCAAGCCCAAGAAGGCTGCACCCAAAAAGAAGTAGGTTGTTGGACGTCTGCTTCTGAAACCCAAAAAGGCTCTTTTCAGAGCCACCACCATCTCCGAGAAAGAGCTGGGCATTCTCTGCGCATCCTATTCCTTTTTCCCCTTGAACTTTTCAGCTGTAGGATAGGGTTGCGGGGGTGTGGTTGGTAACTTTGGGCTTAACGCCAACCGGAAAGGGGCGGGGGGGGGTGTTTCTGCGCGGCCCTGGGGCATGTCCCCTGCCCTGCGGTGCCTCCGGTGGCCTCTCCCGCGGCGGTGCGGAAGCGCTGTCCCGAGGCGCGCACTCGTCCGCCAGCCCCGCCCCGCGCCGGGTACATCGAAAACAACCACTAATCAAGCCAGCCAGTTTGTCTTCAGGAATACCCCGATTGGGTTGGGAAGTCATTCAAAAGTCCCGCCCTGCTCGCGGGTTGGCCCACTCCTCCAGCCCGTGGTCTTCGTCGTGTGTTTCATTGGGTGGCGTCCTGCCTCGGGTGTAGTCTGTGTATGTTTTGTTTCTGGTGGGTTGAACTGGGCCTTTCCGGTTGATAAACATGTATGTATTTCGGACACTTACCATGTTTTGGAAAGTAAAGTTGGGGTGTCCGGGGGCAGTCCCGGGCCCGGGAGGAGAGGGCGCAGGCGCCTGCGTCCCGCGCTCTGGTGTGCAAGCCGGTGCGCCGCGGCCCCCAGGTACCTCGCGGGGACAACGCGCGGCGGCGGCGGCGACCCTGCCCGGGCGCACCGCCGGACCCGCGCCCTCCCGTGCCTCGCCTCGCGTACCTTTGGACACAGGTGTGATGGATTTCAGGGCATCAGAAACAGCTTTTCGTCGGCCATTTTGTCCTGGCAGCGGGTCCCCGAGCCTCACTTTAGGCAGACGTCAACATTCAAAAGCCGGAGACGTTTTAAACGCATTTCTGTGCGGCGGTCCCAAGTCCAACAGTTTCGACGCCAGGAACAAAATATGGGTAAACTGGAAACGTGTGTGTGGGTGGGGGGTGATGCCTAACGAAGGGCTTTCGTTTGTATTCACGGTGTTATCTGCGGGTTCCTTGATATTCATGGCGTTTCTTCCGGACAAAGTCCTAGTCCTGCTTCTATTCTGGTGAACACGGATTTTCTCAAGTTCCAGGAACAGGGGCTTCTGGGACCCGCTGCTCAGTTCTTCGCCCGTTGCCACGATGACGGAACTAGCGGTTAATTAATCTAGATTCGTTCCCGCATTACTGGCAGCGATCACGGGTTTCATCCCTACCCGCACCGCCCCTCCCACGGAATGGGGACACTTTAGTGTCCGTTGTCGTAAGTAGAAAGACCTCCACTTTTAGGGCGCAGCGCGCGCGCGCACACGAAGACAATTTTCCCAATTTTCCATAAATTACACGAAGTAATTTTTGTGCTGTTAATTTCACATTTAAAACCATGGAGCCCTCTGTATTTTGTTGTAAGGTTTAATAAATGTATACAACCCTTCCATGTCTTCCCCTTGTCCCCTCCCTGCTCCACCCTCATTTTGAGATGCCACCTTTATCATAGGCTAAATTTCCTGGGTAGGTGGAATAATTCTTGGTTTTCTACTTTGTTCTTTGGTCTCTCATTCCTCAGGTGTGATCACACTAAATATTGTTCACAGGACTATATTCAATGCTGAGAATACATGACCTATAGTAGATATTAAAATAAAAATTGAATGTTTAATAAACTGAGGTGTTGTGACTAATAGCTGATAGAGCTCATTCCCCGTCCTTGCTCTTTCTCAGAATTTCCTGGTTATTCTAGTTTTTGTTAATTTCGTTTTTCCAAATGTAATTTAAGATGCTTCCTCCCACCTCTCCACCCCTCCACTATGCATAAAAAACCCTCAAAACCCTATCAGTAGTTTCTTTGGGATGATGTTAAATTTACAAATTAATTTGGGGAGACAATGAAGTTTTCCTATTCAAGAACATTTTATTCCCCCCCCCTTTTTTTCAAATATTTTGTACCTGTGGAGAATGTTTCAAATTTTCTCCAACTAGATCTTCATATTTCTTATTACCTTTATTCCCAGATATTTTGTCATCTTTCTACTGTTGAAATGGCAACCTATGAAATTTTAAGATTCCTCGAGGACCAGAATACCATAAAGGGCACACTGAAGATACCCAGTTCTGGAAGAGATCTATGCCTCTGTGAATTAACAACCTCTAGAACAATGTCGTGTATAGCCACAGAAAGAAAAAAGAAACAGGTGAAATCAATGTTAATAACATAATTTATTTAACGTAATATATCCAAAATATTCTCATTCAACATAAAAGCAATGGAAAAATATTTATAAGATATTTCACATTCTTTTTTGCGTCTCATATTATGTCTTTGAAAACTCTATGCATATGGCATATCTCAGTTCCTGCTAACCTGTTTCAACAGCTCAGTTAACTATATGTGGCTCCTGGCAACCATATGAACAATGAAACTCTAGAATGCCCTCTGGTCCCAAATGATCCTGGTCTTCTCTAACCTGGTCTTTGGCTTAAAGCTTGCATGTCAGGGTGTCAATGTATACTATTTTCTGTGCTTAAATTTTTGGTGAAGTGTCTGACCTTAAATGATGATTGACTGGTCCACAGGGCACTGGGCCAAAATGAACCATCAACAATTGTCTTCCAAAAACTGGAATTGAATTATAGAAACTGAGGTGAACCGATGTCCAGGGAACTGATTTCTTAGACACTCTCTAGGAGAAACCAAGAAGGCTGGTGACTAAAAAGACCAAAATGGAGCCAAGAGATGCCTAGAGGGTTATTGTCTGTGCTCCTGACATTGGAGTTCTTGGTTCTCCTAGCCATCTCAACTCCTGCCACTAGGGTCACCTCTCGGCTCAGACTGGGTCAAGTTGTAGCAATCAGGAGACTTAAGACACTCCAAATAGAAGCACAGTTCGTCCTCATTCGAGCGTAGCGTACTTCCACGCTTCCTTTCCTCTTCAGATGCTGTTAAGTCTGCACACCTTTGGAGGTTATATACTTGCAGTTGACCCTAACATTGAATGTCTCCTGCAAACATGTCTGCTTAGGTAACGGGCGTCCTTTACTTTCAAATGAAATGTATTCCTCAAGAACAAACAATCTCCCTTTTCTAGTAGGGTGTAGGGAGAGTTCGTTTGTGGAGAGCTAAAAGTTGTAAAAATCTCTAATGTCATCTAGACTTTAGATAAAATCTTCACTAATGTTTCTTTGATTTTGTACCATTCCCTCACCAGTGTTCACAAAGTAGCCTGCCTTAAGTCCGATGCTGTAAGCCATTCATTAGACTCCAATTTGGCCGCCTTAAGAAAAAGGTCCTTGTTTTTGATTTCTAATAATGAAGTTTATATTTTATTTTGACATTATTCATATTATCATTTCCAACATTCTACTTACTATGATCATACTGATAATGGCAATAATATATTCAAATAATTGCCCAAACATGCCTGATTAGCCAAAACGGGCAATGAATACTGCATAAACAAAATCGCTGGTTGATAATTCAACAATGAAAATTCACGATCTCGTGTCTATGTTTGACAAAAATGTGAGTAACACAGAAATTAAAGGCTACTTGTAATGCATTATAATGCAATATAATTGTAATGCATTATAATGCAAACTTCTTTTTTTTTTCTCCTGCCCATACACAGAGCTCTCATGGCTGAAAAATTAAATATCCTATTCTCATAAGCAAAGTTCTAGGTATTATTCTATGCCTAAGGGAAGTATAGAAAGTAACTTTGGGTTGAAACTCATACCAGAGATGAACAGGTCCAGGAGAGGCAAGATTACATCATTAGAGGATTTCACAGTGGAGAATTAGAGCATTTCCGAGCTCTAATTTACAATGTGCCAAACATTGTTGCTCATCCTTCTGCACTTACTATCAAACACCTTGTCACAGCACGTAGGTGTCACTAATACTGGGGATTGGTGATATTAAGAATATAGCTTGTTGGGATGCCTGGGTGGCTCAGTTGGTTAACTGGCTGCCTTCGGCTCAGGTCATGATCCCAGCGTCCTGGGATCGAGTCCCGCATTGGGCTCCTTGCTCTGCAGGGAGCCTACTTCTCCCTCTGCCACTCTGTCTGCCTGTGCTCACTCTCTCTCTCTCTCTGACAAATAAATAAATAAAATCTTAAACAAAAAAAAAGAATATAGCTTGTTAGTTTCCAATCAGTGAGCCAGTGTAACTATCTTCTGTATGCTAGTGCTTTTCCTCAGAAATACAGTAAGAGCTGTATCACTTATTTGACATTTTCTAGTAGGCACATTTAAAGAAGTAGAAAAGAAACACATAAATCTCTTTTAATAGTATTTTAACTCACTATAATAGAAATACCAGTTCAACAAGTTATCTAATATAAAAAATATTAAGGAGGTTTTTTTATTCTGTTTTTCAGGCAGTGCTTTGAAACCTGGTATATAGTTTACCCTTAAAGCTCATCCCAATTTGGACTAGCCACATTTCAGGTGCATGATAGCTATCCATGGCTAGTGGTTACTATCATGGACAATATAGGTCCATAGTAAACACTGTGGGTAAGACACAAGCAAATACTTGCTCTGTAGCAGAATCCAGATGTTTCCAAGAAAATGATTATTCTGAGCTGGTCCCGAGGCCCAGAGAGCATCCCTAAGATGTGATGTTTCTTTTCCTCATCCTATCCACCTCATCTCATACCAGGCCACTGAGCAGAGGACTCTGACAATAGAAGGTAGCCCAAGTCCAAGCCACTGCATATCTTAGCCATCCAGCCTAATCTGTGTGACAGGAGCAGCTAGCTCTAAGAATCCCTTTCTGGGCAATCTTATTAATCAGAAGATATTTAGAGTGTAGGTTCAGTGTGACATTGCCTGTCAATGATATTTATTAGTAGAATGAATTTGGCCAATTAACTAAAATGTCTTAGGCTAAAGTTCTTGCTCCGTAAAATGGACACAGTGAGAGAACTTGACTTTCAGTGTTGTATCAAGAGTGATATCAGGGTGCCTGGGTGGTTCAGTCTGTTGAGCATCCGACTCTTGATTTCAGCTCAGGTCTTAATCTCAGT